GTTCATATAGCAGGTGTTATTTTAGTTATGATGTTTTGTATTAGAGGAAAGATGGCGATCTAATCTTGTGAGTAGGTGTTTTTTTTACTAAGTTAGATTTACAATTGCTACTAATTTTAATGTTAAATATTTCCTATAACATGAGTAACAAAATTTAAACTATTTCATGGTGATTTTGGGTTAGGAAAAATTCACACTATAAATGTCTTAGGAAATATAAATTTTGAGAATGAAATTTTTATAAGATGAAGATTATAACGACCTATAACAATAAAAAAAAATGATAGTTTGATTCAACAAGGATGATGAAGACGTAGGGGAAGAAAGGGATGTGAAGAAGAAACAATAAGATGAGGGAGACAACAAGCAATTTTATTATAATAAAGGAGAGGCGAAACAAATAAAAAATGTTGAATTTATCGGGTGAGAAATGAGAGCACAAAACCAAATGGTGTAAGAGAAGAAGGTGAGGCAAAGAAGGTGAAGGGGAACTACATGCATGAGTAGTGAGAATATGTTTGTACATGGTGATGGGCGTGGGCATGACAAGATCATAACAGAGAGAAAGAGATTAAGTAGAACATAGGGGGCAAACAAGAAGTTGTTGGAGTGGCTCGTCGGACCGAGCGAGTGATCGTGTGAGTGAATCTTGACTAAGATGAGTTGGTGAAAGGTGGGAGCTTGTGCGAGAACAAATAGAGAAGGTTGAATTTATCTGGTGAGAAATGAGAGCACAAAATCAAATGGTATAAGAGAAGAAGGTGAGGCAAAGAAGGTGAAGGGGAACTACATGCATGAGTAGTGAGAATATGTCTGTGCATGGTGACGGGCGCGGGCATGACGAGATCATAACAGAGAGAAAGAGATGAAGTAGAACATAGGGGGGAACAAGAAGTTGTTGGAGTGGCACGCCGGACCGAGCGAGTGATCGTGTGAGTGAATCTTGACTAAGATGAGTTGGTAAAAGGTGGGAGCTTGTGCGCAAACACATTTTGCAGGTAGGTCAAATAGAGGCGAACGATTAAAATGAGCAGTAAGGTTTAGTGCATAGAGCAGTTGTGTGGATGTAGTGTACTCGAAATCGAGATGAACATAAATTTAAAATAACAATATTATTTAAGATGAGTTAAATTATAGATTGCAAGAAAAAAATAATTTAAATTTTGAAAGGAAATTATAATACTGCATTATAAAAAAATTTGAAAGGTAAAAATTAGAAATTTGTTTATAAGTTATAATATTATGTTACAAAATGATTTCATAAAGGAAAGTTAATTGTGGTCCTATGTATTAAATTAAAACAAATGATTTATGATATTAAGTATAAAATAGAAGGAAAATTTTAAACAAACTTTTCAGGATTCAATAAATGATTACAATTAGTTGGATAAATACAACTACAACAACAAAGTCTTAATCCCACTACGTGGGCTCGACTACATGAATCCTTTTTCTCCATTGCATTCTATTTAGTGTGTCATATTTTCATTTAGTTCTAATAAATTAAAATCATTTTTTATACAATATGCCCAAGTCTTCCTAGGTCTACCTCTGCCTTTCTTAACATAAGTTGGATCTAAAATGATTACAATTAGTTGGATAAATGCAACTACAACAACAAAGTCTTCATCCCACTACGTGGGCTCGACTACATGAATCCTTTTTCTCCATTGTGTTCTATTTAGTGCGTCATATTTTCATTTAGTTCTAATAAATTAAAATCATTTTTTATACAATATGCCCAAGTCTTCCTAGGTCTACCTCTGCCTTTCTTAACATAAGTCGAATCTAAAATATATACACTCCTAATCAGATCATCAGATGGTCGACATTTAATGTGACCAAACCATATAAGATAACTTTCTCTAATTTTGTCCATCACTGGAGCTACACCAACCCTATCGCGGATGGGAAAAACAAAAATTTGATAATCATTTCGCATTTTGACTCTATGTGTAAAGCCACTCATCAACCTAATCATTCTATCTCGGCAACATTTAACTTAGTAGTATGCTTCTCTCTTAAAGGCCAACATTCAACGCCATAAAGCATTGCAGGTCTCACCACTGAAGCATTCCTCCACTTCAACCAACCAACTTGAATTTTGCTATTAACATCCTTAGCTATATCACCATCGCTTTGAACAACATACCCGAGATATTTAAATTGTTCACACATTTTAATAATTTGCTCACTCAAATTTACACTTCTGTCACTAGAGCTACTACTACTAAAATTACATTCCATGTATTCAGTTTTAGTTACTAAATGAAGGCCTTTAGGCTCCAACGTAGACCTTCATAATTCAAGTTTTTCTTGGGCTTTTTCTCTCGTCTTACCTACGAGAAGAATTTCATCTGCAAAAAGCATACACCAAGGTACATCCTCCTGTAAATGTCTAGTAAAACCATTCATAACTAAAGCAAAAAGATATGGGCTTAAAGTCGATCCCTGATGAAATCCAACATAAATAGAAAAATAATTGGTCAATCCTCCTTCATTTCGAACACAACAACTCTAGTATACATATCTTTAATGACTTCATATCAACACCTTCCTTCTCAAGAACTCTCCAAAGGATATCTCTTGGAACATTATCGTAAGCTTTTCTAAATGAATAAAAATAAAATATAGATCCTCCTTATTATCTCTGAACTTCTCCATCAAACCTCTCAATAAATGTATAGCTTCCGTAGTAGACCTGCCAGTCATAAATCCAAATAGTTGGATAGATAGAAAAGGAAAAAATTAAGTAAATATAATGCACAGGTGTTTTATTTTTCGGCTAGAGGCACAAAATAGTGATTTTGTAGATTCAACAAACATGATAAAAGAAGTAAATATATTTCACAGGTGTTCTATTCTTCGGTTAGAGGCACTTATAAAAGCACTTATCTTGTTGACGCAACAAAAAAGATAAAAGCAAGTTGAATATTGAAGTTGTAATTCAGTCATTAATGAAGATTTAGCAGGATTCTAATCAGTCGAACTGTGCAATTGAAAAATGTATATTTTTTCGAAAGGTTATTCTTATATGAAGAGTTCCTTTTGTTTTCTTTTTATGGAGTGGCAAGCTTTCAGTTACCTGAAAATAAATATTTTATACATGTTGTTGAGCACTTCTGTTATTAAACTACTAGTCATTAAGGCTTCTCTATTCATTTTATTATAGAAATTAATGAGTTTCTGCAGTATTTTTTTGTCTATTAAAAGCTTTTGAAGATAGAACTGGTAAATTAATTATCCATCAATAATTATATTTGTTAAAGTTTACATTGTTGTAGTTATTATAGAAAACATAGCTAAAAAGATTAATCTTAGTTATAAATTTAGTTAGCAGCTGTAATTATTGACTTATAAATTTTGTTCTTCCTTGCTTATCTTCACCACTCATTATCAAAGTCAACAGAATTTTTTATTTCCTTTTAAGTTTCTTTATAATTGTTGGTTAAATAGCTGAATTTATGAACACTTTTGTAGTTTGATTTTGCTGAGACATAATCTGAAGTATAATTTTGATATTCCATGTTGTTGCATTCTAATGTGTGGTAGTTTTGCCAGAACATTGTCTCGTTGTTTATTTTATGAGTCATTAACTAAATATAGTGTTCTCTAAGCTGTTGGCTTATTATATTCTAGCACTTCATCTTTTTGGCACAAAACAGAACCAATACATTACATATTGGAAAAGCCCAAAATAGTCATCTTGATTATTCATATGTGACCAATTTAAACTTAAAGTATCACATTTCTCCAATTTAGTTCTTTGATTATAAAAATCTGATCCAAAATAGATTTTTAGGGATTAAAATGGATCACTTTTATGTAGTTGAGTGATTAAAGTGAGATTAATTTTGTATCCTAGTTTTAATCCATTTCAACCGGAGGACCATTTTTTATGGTTGATGGATTGAATTGGAGAAATGTGATTGATGCGGGAGCTTTTTTCCCGCAGAGTTCTCTCCTGGTATTTTAGCTGGTATAGTACCACAAGAGACGGAGTCGGGCTGCCGAAACAATCACGGTTTCTTTTCTTATTCTTTCTTTCTTATTTTCCTTCGTTCCATTTTAGTCCACTGTATACGTGTATTACGGTTTGGATTAATAATTTTTTGTGTGCTTTGTACCGAGACAACCATCTGCATCTTTTCTTCCCTTCGAAAACTGTATCTTGATTTCCAGGCGGTGCTTCGGCTGTATCTTAGTCTTCAGGTGGTGTTTATCTT